ACAACTACAACTTAATGTAGTCAAGTCCATGCTGCTTTTCAGAAATTTCCAGAACACAAGGAGAGGGGGACACAGGGGCCAAGTTGGGTCCCCACATTAGGGTTTGCAGTTCCTTCCATAGAAAGATGTTTGCTTTGTGTCATATCCCTTTTTTAATTTTCTGAGTAACAAAGGTGTTTTTCTCCAATATTTTTAAATTTTCAAAATGTTCAACTTACAGAAAAATTGCAAGAACAGTACCCAGCAAAAACCTACATAGCATATTCAGCAATCATTCACATTTTATTATATTTTCAATCCCTTTCTCCTCCTCTGCTCAGTTCCCCTTTCCCCCACTTTTGGTTGAATCCTTTTAAAGTGGCAGAGATGATGTCTATCAGTCCTAAATATTTTGACATATACTTTTTAAAAACAAGAACATGTTCTTACTTGACCACATGTAATCATCACACTCAAGAATTTTAACTGTGGTACAAAATTATGCTCTAATATATATCCCATCTTCAAATGTCCCCAGGTACTCTCAAACCTGTCCTTTATTAGCTTTTTAAATGTTCTCTATGTGGGGAGGGGCAGGAACTGAATGAAGGAGGGTGAAGGGATTAGCCAAAGAACACAGGTGAACAACCCACGGACAGGGACAACGATGTGCGGATGGCAGGGGCGGGGGGGTGGAGCTGGGTGGGGCTGGGCAAAGGGAGAAAAAGCAGGACAGCTGTAATAGCATAAGCAATAAAATACAGTAAAAATAAAATACAATGTTCTCCATATAGGATCAAGTACTGCATTTAATTGTCAAATTCCTTTCATCTTTTAACCAAGAATAGTCCTAGCTCCTGTTATTTTCTAGTGGATGACACCACCCTTTATGAAAGGTGCCATATCACGGTAACTCCCTGGGATGGTCATGCTCAGTAAAATGGGCTCAGATAGTTTTCACCAGGGATGTGCTTTTTATCTTGGAAAAAGATCATCGTTAGGAGCTGAATTGCAGTGGATCTTTAAGAAGCAGATTGACTCTGTTTAAGCCAAGGGTTCATCAGACCTCAAGGAGCTGGTGGGAGTCTGGGAACACTCTTATTCCCGTGCCTTTCCCTAAAACCTAAGGCATCTCACGAGTCCAGAAAGGAAATGTTGGAAGGATATTGGGGCAAAAGTATTAGAAATAGTGAAAGAAGACACAAATATCCTTTCACTTGGCCCTCTTTTCAGTTCTGTTTTGCCTCAAAAGCAGACACAGCTGCAGATACATTTAAAAATCTCCCTCTGGTTAAAGCCAGTGCCATATACACACCTAGTATGAACATTTTTTCTGATGAATTCCCCAAAACTCATGCCACACGTATGGCAGGAAGACAGATACCCTGGGGAAACATGGAGGAGCAACTTGTTCAACAACATGATGATTATGATGATGATAAATACCTAGCCTTCTAGCTACCTAAGAGGCACAGATTTTATTTGCTTAAAACCCAAGAGAATCTCTCTCAAGAGAATTTCTTGCTCCCCTAGAAGTTTCAAAGACATTTAGTTTTCCAACAGATCATGTTCTTGACACATGGCAAAGCTATGGAAAATGTTTCTTTTTTTTTTCTTTCTTTTTTTTTTAGGACACACCCCACCTTACACAGTTTATTTACTTTCACAGATTTTGAAGGCTTTATTCCTGCCATGCAATGCTAAGTCGCATCCATAAGGTGTCAGCACCTTCATTGTAACCAGAATGATGGGATTTTTCTCTTTAAAGAGTAGTTTCTCCATTGGCCTTAAGGTGGTGCCAACACCCCAGGTCCACCGGAGTCACGCCCAGGTGCAGGAGCTGGTGGCGCCCAGGAGAGAATGCAATGCCGTGGTGGTGATGGAGGAGGAGGAAGGGGGCATGGGAGGTGACTTGAATGTCTTTTGCCTTTATCTTCGCTTATTATTCTAGAAACACACAGGGCCCTCTGGGGCCCCATTCCGCTTTCGGCTCACGGACAACAAGGTCAGGAAAGGAAGGAATCAGAAAGAAATTAGCAGCCCCAATCCAAAAATACCCTGTCAGGTTAAAGAAAAGGTTGGAAATATGTTTTTTGCAAAGTCCAGGTGTGTGGAAGGTGTTGTTTTAATAACCTGAACAAACATTTCTCCTGGAGTTCTACTGAGTGGAGAAGAAACCTAATTCCAGGGGCAAAGGAAAATGTCTCTCTCACCTTTTCTGTCTTGATTATAAGATTTCTTTCTTTCAACCCCCGCTTTTGTGGGAGGGTACTAATTTTGGCAACTTATCCTAGTTCTTTTCAGATGACATTAGTTTAAACCTGGGCACCCTTGTAAATGCCAACTCAGGCAAAACTGATCTTTTAAAATTTATTCTCTTTGGTCCTTAGCTACTTTGAGTTTCAGGCTGTTCTGTGATAAAGCTTTTTTTTTTCTTTTTTTAAAGCACCTCGTAAAAGCCGAGTAAATAATATTCCTTCAGGAAGCCTACAGACTGAGGAGTGTTTCTTGATCAATAGTTTGCATTTCCAGTAAAATCGTGAGCAGAACTCAGAGTGCCTGTCATGCACTCCAGGAGAAGGGCAGTTTTTGCCAGAGGTTTTTTTTTTTTTTAAAGATGGAATGCATGTACTAGAGGTATTAAAAAATAATAAAGTCATAGTGGGAGTTGGGGGGGAGGGCGGTGAGAGAATGCTCAAACCATTCACCTGTGAGCTAAGGTAGCTTTATTTTACTTTGTTGCAAAAAAAAAAAAATTATCAAGTTAGAAAAAGAACTCAGAACAGCCATAAAAAATAGAGTGTTTCAGTAGAATATTCGCGGTAATAGGAACCTGTTTTTGTACTTTCTCTTTGATTCTGAATTTATCATGAGATAATATCATTCGTAGATAATGTATATAAATCTTTTTTCTTTTGTTCTTTTATTGAAAATAAATAAGATGTCTCCCATGCCTTCTGTTCACCTCCCAAAAGCTGAGTGACCGTAGGTTCTCTCACCCTTTTCCTGGGAACCTATCAAGAGTTAGGAGGGGGAAAGGAAACTTGAAACAAAAGTTTTATCTGGTCTCTTTCTTACCCAACCGGATGGACAACTTCCAGAATTCTGACCAGCATTTAGTCCTTCTTATGGGGGTCCCGCCCCTTCAGGGGAAGCGGGCAAAAGGGAGTCCGATTTTTCGAGGTGTTGAAGAGATAAATACTCAGTCCACAAATAAACAAACTTGCCGGGATTCCTAGAGAGAAGAACGCTTAGAAGCGCGAGGACCCCGATTTGCTCCAAGCCCGTATCAAGATTAATAGCATCTCTGGGGGTGTCTTAACCGTTTGCAATCGCTTACCGCGTCCTACCACGGAGCCCCGGTGCCCAAGTCACCTATGAAACGTTAACCACCCAAACACAACTGAAATATAAAAAGTCAGTTTGGGGAACCCCAAGGGGGCTTTGCCCGTTGCGTGAAGAAGAGCTGCACCCGGACCGGTGTTCCAGGCGCCCGCCAAGGTCGAGAGCCCGCACTAGGGGCGCGCGTCGTGGGGCCAAGTCCCGCGGAAAGCCGCTGGGTTTCTCCGCTCGGGCAGAGGAGCCCGGCTCTGCCCGGGCCGGGCTTGCGGCATTGTTCCCAGCTTTCAGGAGCGCGGGAGTCAGCTTGTCAAAGGGAATTTCTCTCCGGGGGAAAAAAAGAGCCGCTGCGAGGCTGGAGTCAGTGGGCTGCAGGCGTCTACACGGGAAGGGAAAGGGGGAACTGAGCAAAGTTATTTAACTCTCTCTCCCAAATTCCACAAAACTGTCCACCATGACGCGGGTGATTTACCGAATCCACGGAGAATTTAGCGGATTATATTCTCAAGATATTGCTCCTTTCCGCTGCTCCGCCTTTCCCCTATAGACATTGCGGCTAGACTCCTCAGGTAGGGGTGAGGGGCATTCCATTTGCGTAATTTACCCCTAAAACCTTCATAGGTTATTCCTGACGGCCCTGAACCTGGAAATTCCTTGTTGATTATTAATTATTTGCTTAAATAATAACAACATCCAGGGGAGGCCCCTTCTATGCCAAGTCAGCACGTTTGCTTTGAATCCATTACACCTGGGCCCCGACAATTAGGAAATCTAATTATTCGCCTCATCACTCATTAATAAGAAAAATAGTCCCAGGATCTTTGCTACTTACAAGGTCTTTGGGGAGAGAGATATTTGACTACATTAATTAATTCGCTTTTATATTTCAAACTTTTTTTTTTTTGCAAAGGAGAGTGGCTTTTTTTTTTTGCTCTGGGCACGCGGGACCACTAAACAAAATGTGATAATAAAATAAAATTTAATAAGATATAACTTTTCTTGAAAAAATCTTTTCAAGTGAAGACTGAGCTGCGTTAAAGTCTGGCTCTCAGCGGCTGGGTCTTAGAGCCGACGGATTCGGCGCTCCTCGCCCTGATTGGGCGCTAACTCCCCACAGCTGCCGCGTTATTGGTCCAAAGTTCCCGGAGGGGGCGTGGCCGGTGGAAAGTAAAAACTCGCTTTCAGCAAGACGACTTTTGAAACTTTTCCCAATCCCTAAAAGGGACTTTGCTTCTTTTTCCGGGCTCGGCAGGGCAACCAGTCTGGACCCCGGCTCGCTGACCCTCAGGGCGACCGATTTGCTGGGGCGCTTGGAGAGCCCCCTTCCCCCTTCTGGAACGGACCGGGGGGCCAGCCGTGGTCCACCGCGCTCGTGGCGCCTCCGCTGCGTCCCCAGCCGCCGCCCGGGCTGCCACCCGCCGGGTCCTGAGAGCGAGCGAGCGAGTGAGCAGGGGCCGGCGCTGCGCTCGCGCGGGGCGCGCCCTCCAGGATGCTGATCCTCCCGGTTCGCTGAAAACGAGCGCCCCTTCTCCTTCCGAAGGCGGGCGCCGGGCGCCGGTGCTCCTCCACCTCGCCCCCAAGGCTTTCAGGCACCCGGGGCTCCCTCGCCGCCTTCTCTCTCTCTCTCTCTCTCTCTCTCTCTCTCTCTCTCTCTCTCTCTCTCTCTCCCCCCCCTCTCCTCTCTCTCTCTTTCTCTCTCTCTTCCCCTCTCTCTCATTTCTCATTTCTCTCTCTCCCTCTTGCTCTCTCCGGGCCTTGCTCACGGCCCGTGCGAACAAGAAGTGACGAGCCGTCTCGGACGCAGCATGCAGGCGCGCTACTCCGTGTCCGACCCCAATGCCCTGGGAGTGGTGCCCTACTTGAGCGAGCAGAATTACTACAGGGCGGCAGGCAGCTACGGCGGCATGGCCAGCCCTATGGGTGTCTACTCGGGCCACCCGGAGCAGTACGGCGCAGGCATGGGCCGCTCCTATGCGCCTTACCACCACCACCAGCCTGCGGCGCCCAAAGACCTGGTAAAGCCTCCCTACAGTTACATTGCGCTCATAACCATGGCGATTCAGAACGCGCCCGAAAAGAAGATCACTCTGAACGGCATTTACCAGTTCATCATGGACCGCTTCCCCTTCTACCGGGAGAACAAGCAGGGCTGGCAAAACAGCATCCGCCACAACCTTTCGCTCAACGAGTGCTTCGTCAAGGTGCCCCGCGACGACAAGAAACCTGGCAAGGGCAGCTACTGGACCCTGGACCCGGACTCCTACAACATGTTCGAGAACGGCAGCTTCCTGCGGCGCCGGCGGCGCTTCAAGAAGAAGGATGTGCCCAAGGAGAAGGAGGAGCGGGCCCACCTCAAGGAGCCGCCCCCGGCGGCGTCCAAGGGCGCCCCGTCTGGGCCCCCCCTAGCGGACGCCCCCAAGGAGGCCGAGAAGAAGGTGGTGATCAAGAGCGAGGCGGCGTCGCCGGCGCTGCCGGTCATCACCAAGGTGGAGACGCTGAGCCCCGAGAGCGCGCTGCAGGGCAGCCCGCGCAGCGCGGCCTCCACGCCCGCCGGCTCCCCCGACGGCTCGCTGCCTGAACACCACGCAGGCGCGCCCAACGGGCTGCCGGGCTTCAGCGTGGAGAATATCATGACGCTGCGAACATCGCCGCCGGGCGGCGAGCTGAGCCCGGCGGCTGGTCGTGCGGGCCTGGTGGTGCCGCCGCTGGCGCTGCCCTACGCCGCCGCGCCGCCCGCCGCCTATGGGCAGCCTTGCGCGCAGGGCCTGGAGGCCGGGGCGGCCGGGGGCTACCAATGCAGCATGCGCGCCATGAGCCTGTACACGGGTGCCGAGCGACCAGGGCACATGTGCGTCGCGCCGGCGCTGGACGAGGCCCTCTCGGACCACCAGAGCGGCCCCACGTCGCCCCTGAGCGCCCTGAACCTCGCCGCGGGCCAGGAGGGCGCACTCGCCGCCGCTGGACACCACCACCAACATCACGGTCACCACCACCCACAGGCGCCGCCACCTCCGCCGGCCCCCCAGCCCCAGCCGGCCCCGCAGCCCGGGGCCGCCGCGGCCCAGGCGGCCTCCTGGTATCTCAACCACAGCGGGGACCTGAACCACCTCCCCGGCCACACGTTTGCGGCCCAGCAGCAGACTTTTCCAAACGTACGGGAGATGTTCAACTCCCACCGGCTGGGGATTGAGAACTCGACCCTTGGGGAACCCCAGGTGAGCGGCAACGCAAGCTGTCAGCTGCCCTACAGATCCACGCCGTCCCTCTACCGCCATGCCTCCCCCTATTCCTACGACTGCACGAAATACTGACCGGTCCTCGCCGCTCTGGCTTTGTCTCCCAGACGCGACCCTCTCGGACAGTTCAGGCTTGCAGAGACGCAAAGAAGAACCAAAACACGTCCACCAGCTTTTTCTCAGATCCGGGAGCAGAGCGCGCGCGCGCCAGCTTGAGCCCTCTGGGAAGCTGCAGGTAACTTTAATTCGCCGCCCCGTTTCTGAGATTCTCAAGAGGCTCCCCCGTGAAGGGCCCAACGAAATGAATATTGATTTTAAAATCCCCCTCCCCTGCCAGGATGGCTGTGCTCTCTGCTCCGCTCGGGGTTTTCAAAATTAAGTTATGGACCAAATATCATAGCGACCCAGTAATGACTCTCTGTAGAGACCTCCATAAGTTTATGGGGATCTCTATAGATTCCGTACGTGCTGTGTGTAATTTTAAATTTCTCTAACCGTGCTGTACAAATGTGTGGATTTGTAATCAGGCTATTTTTTGTTGTTGTTCAGAGCCATTAATATAATATTTAAAGTTGAGTTCACTGGATAGTTTTCATCTTGCCCAACCATTTCTAACTGTCAAATTGAAATTTCAGAAAACCTATGTGGGATTTTCCTCCTGTACAATTATGAGATATAATTCTTTTCCCAGTTGTAGGTCTTTTACAAAACAAGAAAATAATTTATTTTTTGTTGTTGTTGGCTGACAAAAGAAGTCAAGTATCTGATACTTTTTATTTACAAAGTGTGATGGTTTTGTATAGTAGGTTTCTCCCTGAGCATTCCTAAAAGAAAAAAAAAACTTCAAAAATTTTAACTTCACCTGTGTTTGTCGTATGTGGCCTTAATTGTTGTACTTACCTTAAAATAAACCCATGTTGTTTTTCTGCCCAAAAAACAGTGTGTTTGTGTACTCGCATTTAAAAAAAACAAGGTGGGTTTGCAAATCCACCTGTTTTGATTACATTTTTTTATGCAGGTGGGTAAATGTGTAGACAGACACATGTATGAAGATGATCACAGAGTAATGGGGGCACCTCCCTATTGTCTTGTTCATAACAAAAGGCTTTCCATTAATTCAAAGTTTCACCCTGGCTGAGGCATTCCAGAAATTGTCCTTGTTGGATGTGCCTGCCGGAACGACTGCCTGCTGTAATGTCCTTAGCTGTAACGCATTTTGCTAAATGCAGAAAAAACATGCCAATTGTCAAAACAAACAGTGCCATTACATCTGAATGCCCAGCCATCCCCTATTTAGGAGGGGAAGGAAAACATTTTTCATTAGTTAACTACAAACCAGGAGAGTCCTCCCTCCCGTGAATTTCCTAAAATGCGGGCTTCCTTAACCCTGTTAATGGTTTTACAGAGAAGAATTTGAGCTGGGCCAGTGAAGGTCCAAAGGGGACTGAGTCTGCAGCACTTAATGACCATCCTGGCAGTGGACAGATCAGAGGTGCATTTCAGATCTCTTTACTTCTTGATTTGGTTTCTAAATCTTTACCCTATTGCAGTGAAAAGTCATAAAGCTTCATTGCCCTTCAAAAATAATTTCCAATCCTTTGAGTATTAAATGTATCAACTTTTTCAGACCTTAAATAATAGGGCGATTATTTTTCTTTTCAATTTTGATATCTCGTCTTTTATGCTTTACTAGCAACACAGCATTTGTGAGACGTGGCCAAGGAAAAATGGCTCTGCCATCTATTTAACTGGCCGCAATCTACAACTCTCCTGCTGATCTCTGTGTCTGAATTTTGGGACCAGAGCTCCAAATTGGGGAACGTATCCCACCCCAGCAGATGAGCTGTGCCTCACCGAGGGACATACTCCCTGGGACCCTAACCTTTCAGGCCAGAATGATTTCCCAAAAGGTGATTTTCTTTGATGTAGTGGTGTGGAACGTAACCTGGGTGCTGTATTGTTGTTTTAAACATGGCGTTTTGTCTCTATGTTATACTGAGATAACATTGGAGGCAATTTGAGCGTACTAAATTTCCCCATATGTGTGACACAGATTCTTTCAATCTGTGGCCCCGGAGGTGGCATGTGGTTAAAAAGCTGCGTTGTATTCCTTTTCACAATGTGCTGGATCGAGGAGCCCCCATGCTTGGTGTTTCACTTCAGCAGGCCTCCAGGCCACGGTGCTTTGGTTGAGTGAACTGGACCAGCCAGCGACAGAGAGAGACAGAGACACACACAGAGAAACTCCCTCTGTGAGAGGCAGAAAGCGGCGGCCCAGCTCCTTGTCCAGCTCTGGCACGCCTGTTTCATTTTGTTCCTGTTTCACTTACGCTGTTTGCCACAGGAGAAGAGGAGAGTATTCTAGCCCCCTTTCTCCTTCCTCAGGTGTTTCAGGAGGTCCTCCCAGAAAGATTGCCCTCATCTTAAATTTTGGCACTCAGACCAGGTCTGGGAGACACATGGAGAATAAAGGAGAGAGAAGTGGGAAGGAGTGCGGCGGCAGACCCACACCAGCTCTGAAACCGTCCTGGGCCCTCTGCCTTCTGGAAGGCTTCTTAAAGAAGTCCCCGCTGTGTGTGGGCCACTCACCAGAGTGGGTAGCTCGAGAGGGTTCCCCCCAGATGGGTGGAGACCGTGGCCAGGGGCCCTTCCGTCCCTTTGGGAATGTGGGTAACTTGGGGGATTGTGTTTGGGGTTTTATCCAGGTGGCAGCGTGGAGGGCTGGGGTGTGTAGGATCACCTCCAGACCCCTCAGTCTGAAACACCAGGGGCCAAGGTAGGTGCGGGTCAGTGCCAGAAGTGCTGAGCTCAGAGCTGGCTCAGCCCAGCCTTGGGCCTAAGGGCTTGGCGGCCGCCTCAGGCATCTGTTGCTCCCCGTGGAGGGGGAAGGTCCTGAAGCACAGCACCTTGAGCCGCTGGGAGCCCAGGCACCAGCTGGGCTGCTTTTTGTGACTTCTCAGTACCCTGCACCTCTGCTGCCTGGGCGCAAAAACTGCGTGCCAGGCACAGGCTTCTGCTTCTCTGATCCACTTGCTGCCCCTTCCTTCAGCCAGTGGGCTCTCGGGAGGCTCGGGGCCTTTCAAGAAAGGGGAAAGGAGGTCCAGGATGGAAGGGCCTGAAAGTCCATTGCAGGCTCCCAGCCTCAGGGCTGGGCAGCTCTGTGGCCCACTGGAATGCAGTTTGCAAAAAGCCATGTCTGATAACCATGTTCCTTCCTGACCCAGTAAGATACAGTTCTGCAGGTCTCAAAGGTACTGCAAATAACTTGGAACCAACCCGAAGAGCACGGCAGAAACGATTTCCCTCAAAGTTAACCCTGTGTCTCGGACTGGCCTTAGCTGGGTGGACTGTGTCTCTATAAACAGGGTCCAGTTCTGACAGGTACAGGCTGCCTGGAGAGACTCCGTGGCCTCTGAGCATCCTGAACCATCCCAGCTCCAGAGAGACCGCAGTTGGAGTAGCCTCTGCTTCTTGAAAGACTCGGATAGATGCTCCAACCTCAGCGCTTTCAGGGAGAAAGGACTGCTGGTGTGCTGCCCATCCCGACCTCTCTTCCAAAGGCTGACTTCGGTCTGTGGCTGGCTGGACCTCCCTGCTCTGGTTCAAGTGGCCTGTCCCTAGGACCACCAAAACCCATGGTGATTTGCATCCTGGAATTGCTGGAGCCCTGGGCTAGGAATTAGAAGACCACAGCTGGCTATGTGGACAAACGGCTTCTCCTCCCTGGCCCGGGTCTTCTCGTCTGTAGCACGACCAGGTGAGTGCAAGGGCATTTCGGGCAGCCCGGCACTTTCCCTCCCAGCATAGCTGGCTCCGCCATGGGCCCTCAGTTATCCCCTCTCCCCTCCCTGATGGCAAGACGTGAAGATCCAATGTGGAAGGGCAGAAAACAGCAGGGTCCTGGGAACTTCAGCACTTGGCTCATAAATCTTTTGGGGTCCATCCCCCCCCTACCCAAAGGCTGCCTGGGGGCCACCTCTGGGCCTGGGAGAGGCTTGTGAGCTGCACTCAAAGCACAGAGAGCAGAGTTCCCGGGTCCCCTTTGAAAGAAAAAAAATAAGCCCCCATGGTTGAGCGCTTGCCTCCTTGCTCCTCTCCCCACCCCAAATCCAAAAAACTAGACAGGGCATTGGGCAAGCTGGCTCGATGGGAATTAATTAATAGCCATAAACTTGAGCTGGGTGGAGAGAGTGGCACCAGGAAAAGACACCTTCGATTAATGCACAGAACTAAGTTTCTTGAGAACGTGTGGGGCCTCGGAGCCTGTGCCTGACACCTCGCGCGGAACACGTGTGCGGGGCCATCCCTGGACAGTCCACTCCAGACTCTCGGTGTGGCGGAAAGGGACGACTCCAGGTGAGCTAGACACACTGGGTCGGAGTCACCAGTGACTGCTTTCTGGCACCACATATTTGGAATGCTTTCCCGAACTTTGAGAAGCACTCCCTGCCCGCCGCTTTCTTCAGTGGCCTCAGCTCACCAAGTCGTTTGAAATGTTTGCTTTTTGACATAGGCGTGTGAGGAAGGGGGTGGAATGTTTTAGGGAGCGTGGAAGGCTGGGCTGCCACAGCGAGGGACAGCCACTGTGCCTGGGAAGACGCCACCGCCTGGACTTATGCAAGCCTTTCTCTGGCTTATGCAATATGCCTTCTGTGCTGCAAAGACAGAGAGGCATGGCTTGTGCAGAGCCTGCGTTTTGAATGTGTCTCTCTGGCGCTGTGGTTTTTCCAGTGTTAGGCTTATGGGGGCTTTATCCTGCGGCTGTGAGGGTGTGAAAAGCTGAAGTGGAGGGAAGGGGGTGGGTTGACAGATTGACGAGCTTGCTGGCATTGCAAGGTCGCTTTAAGGGAGCGGAGTTGGGGAGCATTGAGAGGGCAGTCCCTGGTCTCCTGAGCCTGGGGTCCAGCTTTTTGCTCGGTTTATGCCCACCCAGGCTGGGAGGTCCTGGAGGCCAGAGAGACCACTCTGACCCATGACTTAGTGGCCCGTGGCCCTGGGCCTTCCCTTTCCCAGCAGCCCCTCTGGGCTCCCTCTGCCTTCGTGTTATTTTTGCAGGCTGGTTCCCCAGCAGAGTCTTTCTCTCTGAGCTGAATCCACACACACCAGCTCAGGCCCTCTACACAGGCCAGCTGAGGGTTCATGTGACCTGGGGCTTGCTACCTGTAGCTCTCTGGGCTCATTTCTCAACTGAAAAATGATAGGGTCATAGAATAGAGCTATTGTGAAGATTAATGAACCCAACACACAACATGAAAGGGCTTCAGCAGGTCCCAGTCCCTAGTAAAGATGCACTGTCAGATGTTAGGATTTACCTGAATAACAGAAGAGAAAGGAATCTTTGGCCTCAATTAACTGCATATATCAGGCTAAGCTGCTTGGGAAGCGCAGTGTGTGTGCCCTAACTATCCCTTTTTAGACCCTTCAAATCACTTCTGGGAACAAGACGAGTTCTAAAGTAATCAGTAATTAGGAAAATCTCACCCTGCTCTCTGGGCTTCATTCAGCATCAGCTGACCAGCAAAGGGCTACCTTCATGGCTCAGTCCCCACCCCACCCCCACCCACTGCAGAGAAGCAGCAGAAGACCTGGCTCCCGAGTCCTTTCACAGTGGGAGGAGAGGAGAGGGTCTTCTGGGTTTTAGTGGGACATGAGTGAGGACTCTCAGTTTCCTACTTGTAATACCCCAACCTCCCAGCTCTGGTGGTGCCAGATAACCTCCCTTCTCTGGAGGGCCCCCTTCCTTTGCTGACTCCAGGCACGTCTCTGGGAGCCTCCAGTGGACACCTGAGGTTGCCAGACCTCAGAGAACCTACTTTTGGAGGAAAAAGTGTGGTTTCTGATTCCTGTTCCGCTGTTTGCCACCTCCGACATCTCAGGGCGTTCCGTGCCCAGCCTCAGTTTCATCATCTGTGAAGTGGGCCAGCCCCTCGTCTCTCATCGATGCTGCAAGTGTTCTCAGGAGAACTCCCACAGGGCCCCTAGCGTCCACACACAGTGGCAATTATCATGCGATTGTTTTCCTGGCTTTGCAACACTCTCTCAAGGAGGACCTGGGGTGAGCTAACTTCCTGGTTTTAGTTTCTGACTGCAGAATGGGAATGGTAAACGTTTGTTTCCTAGGGTCGCTGTGAGGGTGGGATGACCTAACACAAGGAAAGCATTTAGAACAGTGCCAGCATGTCATAGCTTCCAGTACACTTCGGTTATCACTAGCATCCTTGTTACCGTCATCTTCCCGGTGTCTTCGGGGCGTCAGTACGGTGTACTGGCAGAGTAAGTCCTGCATCTTTATGCCCTCAGTCTTCTCACATATGGTGGAATCACGTTCGTTCAATGTCTTCACACTTAGAAATTGATGCACGTATTTGGAAAGATGACACAGATCGCCATTAATTCGACTGCTTTTTAATTTACCGGTGGAGCAGAGGAAGGGTAGGTGCCCCTGGCAGTGAGCAGGCGGTGACTGGAGCTCGTCTCTCTCTCCATCAGCGTCTTTTTCTGAGGCCTCTTTGGTCCTGGTTGGGGCCTGGCCTCTGCCCTGCCTGCCAAGGAGAAGGCTTTCTCCTGAAAGGTGGGGGCTGGGAATGGCATTGTCTGCTGTTTTCATCCCACGCTGAGCCCGATTTCTGCTGGGGTCCCCCAGCAGAAGAAGTCGGAAGCGCTATGATCCTCCCTGGAGCATCCGGGAATCTCAGGGATCGCCTGCAGGCTTGTAGAGGCGCTTGTGCTGACTTCAGAGATGAATGCGCTCTTCTGGGATCTGAACACTTATGAACCTACAGGGAAATTTCAAACTTCTAGGGTCTGCACGTGGTTGTCTGGGACATGCACTCTGCCTGGCTGCCTCCTAGGCTCATCTCCGCTCCCCCCACCCCCGCCCTGTCCCGGGCCTCTGCTGGGTCCTCATCCGACAGAGCTTCCGCACGAGGGCGCATCCGCTCTCAGCGTAAGGGCTTGTGCCTTGCGCTCCCCGGAAACATGCCCCAGCGCGGTCCTTCCTACTGCAATTACAAAAACTCTTCACCTGGGAGCCCAGGATTGTCTCCGCGCGGGGGCTGGGTTGGGGCGCCAGGCTTGAGTTCTATGGCTGCATCCTCTGGGAAACGTTGCAAACTTCAGCAAACACGCGGGGCTGGATGTGTCTCTCCAGACCGCGACTAGAACTCGGGGTAGGGTTTTTTTTTCCCCTTTTTTTTCCCCCTTTATCAGTGCCCCGCCCACCAGCCGCTCGAGTCTCCTCCTGCGTCCGGCCCATGCCCAAATTGGGTGGTGTTTATTATTGTATGAATTCAAGCTCGGATTTGCCTTCGAGTTTAGAAGAAGCGTCGCTGCGGCGCGCCTTTCAAGAGAGGCGGGGATGTGCGTGCCGGACTCCGGTTGCCCGGGAAGTTCCAAGAAGGGCTCAGGGTGCGGAGATGGGGGTGGTGGTGCGTAGTAACATTCGTTTACCTCTTGTGTCTGTTAGAGGCTGGAAACCTAGCTGGATCCAAACTTGAACTTGTGGGGAGCGCGCCGATATGGAGAGTTGGGGGAACCCCGGGGACTGTGGGACCGCGGGTTGCAAAAGCGCGGCATTGAGGCTCTTTTTTTCCTCCACAGAGTCGAAAGGGGTGCTCCGGTAAGAGCAACAGAGCCCGCGATCTGGGGAGGACGGCGCCCCTGCCCCCTCCAGGCCTGAGGGCCACCTTCAAGACCTAGGCCCGGGAGGCTAGGCCGAACGACCGGTCTCAGAAATGCAGCTCCCTGGACAGAGGCTTGGAGGTGTCCCTGGGCCTGGACCCGTTCTCCCTCAATAAGTGCCTGCACCCAAACCGGTTTTTCGACCCTGATTGCCACATCTTTTTCGGTATTTCAAACGTATCCGCTCCGTCGCAGGCTCTCCGGAACCCCCAAATTTCTGGACTCCCCATTTTGGGGTTAGACTCTCCTGAGCACTCTCACACCAGTCGACAGCACAGTGTCGCCTCTCAGTGACAGCAGCAGAGGCAGCCCCCCACGCCACCCCCCACCCCTTGATGCACGTTGAGTACCTCTCTCCCCATTCCCGGTGGGAGACAGTCGTGGGCAATTTCTACACCCACCTGCCTCCCCACCCCTCCCTCTTCTCTTTGGCATCGCGGCCGATTTATCCAATGAAACGCTAATTCAGTTATCCCGATTGCTTTTTTTCTTTAAAAAATATTCATCAGAGATCATAAACAGTAACTAGTCACGCTACGTGCACCCCTCCTCCCAACGCGGCGGAGTGAGGGCAGAATTACCTCCAACTGAATCAGCATCACGCAGGGTTTTTGATTCAAACTCTGACGTGGCTAAGTGTAAAATGCATGGGGGTGGGAGTGCTTGCACCCCAGAGTGAGTGGGTGGGTCGCGGGAGACCAAGCAGGCTTTGCAAATGCTTAATGTAATCACGGGCCAGCTGCGTGCACTTGTAAAGTTGTTATAACCCCCCTCCTTGTTATAAACAGGAAAGCGCAGAATATAAAGCAAGAGACCCGCATTCACAAATACCAGTTCTCCCCGCTCCAGCTGCCAAATTCCCCTTTTATGGTGTTTCTTGCTTGCAAGCTCAGCCCCATCAGAAAAACCTTAGTTTCTCTCCTGGAACTCTCCAATCGCGTTTATTTTGAACCTTCCCTCCGCCGAGCTTTGGACCAGGTAACGCACCCCTTCTCCAGCTCCTCAGCGCTATATGCATCGGCTTCAGGAAAAGTTGGGCTCTCAAAATCCCCTTCCCCGGGTCCCCAGGGAGCCCTTGGAGGTCGAGGCTTGCCGCCTCTTGGATACTAGCCACCTATCGAAGGTCCTGACTGCTGCGGGGCATGCCCAGAATCTTTCCATGGGGGACGGCGTCCTTTCTCATCAGATGCCCAAACCTCTCAGATAGAGATGCCTCTCCCCACAACACATATAGCAGCTTTCAAAGACCTAAGAAGGCATTTTGTGAGACCGTGCCATCTCTACGTCTCCTATTAAGCCGCGGAGAAGAAAAGACCTTTTGTGGGAGGCCCGGGTGTTGCGAGGGCTCCCCTAGGTCAGCGGTGAAGCTTACCCCTCTGCGCCCCGCCCCCCATCCCCACCTCTCCTTCCTGGCCCGGCAGACCCCGCTCCCAACCGCCACGGTCCACATCCTGCCTCACTGACTGTGTGTGCTTACAGCGTCAAGGGGTGGACGTGATATTTCAAACATCAGATCAGTGCGTTTATATATTGGGTGCCCGGAAATTTTTCCAAATAAACACAGCTTGATTCAACTTGGGTGGGCGGACTTATCAACAGACTAATTCTATAAACAAATGAAGGAATAGCCCTGAAACCGATTGGCTGGTATCAAAAAGACACGTGGAGAGAAAAGCTTGGAGTTTTTCAGCAATGAAATTTTAATTAATGTGGGTGGGCTGAGAACACAACGACTGTTTATCATAGACAATTTATTTTCCAGCGCTAAGTCAACATATAATAGCAAACTTACAACAATTATTTAACATTTTTGAAGCCATGAAGAAGGGACAGAGCGTGGAGCGGCCGGGGAGAGCGGCAGAGCGGGAGGCAGACGCACGGCGGGCTACCCGGGAGGGCCCTAGCGGCGCGGGGCGCAGTCCCTAAGCCCGCCCGGGTCGCTTGCGTCGCGGGGAGCGCATCACCGGCTCACTCTAGCCATGAGCCACCTCTTCGGTCCCCGGCTGCCTGCTCTGGCCGCCTCGCCCATGCTCTATCTGTACGGCCCCGAGAGACCTGGGATGCCTCTGGCCTTCGCCCCCGCGGCCGCTCTGGCGGCCGCGGGACGGGCGGAGCCCCCGCAGAAGCCACCCTACAGCTACATCGCGCTCATAGCCATGGCAATCCAGGACGCGCCCGAGCAGAGGGTCACGCTCAACGGCATCTACCAGTTCATCATGGACCGCTTTCCCTTCTACCACGACAACAGGCAGGGCTGGCAGAACAGCATCCGCCACAACCTCTCGCTCAACGACTGCTTCGTCAAGGTGCCCCGCGAGAAAGGGCGACCGGGCAAGGGCAGCTACTGGACACTGGACCCTCGCTGCCTGGATATGTTCGAGAATGGCAACTACCGTCGCCGGAAGAGGAAGCCCAAGCCGGTCTCCGGGGCCCCGGAGGCCAAGCGGTCTCATGCCCAGACGCACGAGCGCGGCGTAGGGACGCAGCCAGACGCCGAGAGCCAGGAAAGACGCCCTGGCCCCGCGACCCCCAGCCACGAGGGAGCGCCCGCGCGTCCCTGGCCCCTCCGGAGGGGCTCCTCTACGCCAGCGCCTCTCCTCTGCCCCGGGCCCGAGCCCCCAGGGCAGGATGCGGGCGACGACGTCCAGGTTGCAGCGGCAGTGGCGGTGGGCCAGCAAGAGCGCACGATGGATGGTCCGGGGTCCCCTCCGCGCCCCGCCTCTCCGAAGAGCTCCGACAAGTCCAAGAGCTTCAGCATAGACAGTATCCTGGCGGGACGGCAGGACCAGAAGCCAAATGCAGGGGCCGAGCTCCTGGGAGTTGCCAAGCAGGGACCCGGCGGCTGTCTGGGGACCTCGCTTCTTGCCACCCCCACTAACCTCCGTCCGCCTTTCAACGCTTCCTTAATGCTCGACCCGCATGTCCAGGGTGGCTTTTACCAGCTCGGGATCCCTTTCCTCTCCTACTTCCCTCTGCAGCTCCCCGACACCGTGCTTCATTTCCAGTAAAGCGAACAGTGGATCCGTTCTTTCCCCTGCCCGGGGCTGAGCTTCTTGTGAGCCACCACGGCTTCCACCGCAGGGGGAAGGATTCACTTTTTTTTTCCTTTCTTTTTAAGATCTTTTCCTTGGCCGAGGTGTGGACCTTGGAAAGTGTTTCCAATTTATGCGCGCAGGTGGGGGGGACATTCTTGGAGGGGACCTTTCCGAACCCCTGACGTCTTAGGATATTTAAAAGATCCTGTCCCGTGGGAGTTGGGCATCTTAGACCTCCCACCGCGTGAGCAGGAGAATTCCTTGACCTCAGGTCAGTTTAAAGGTGTGATCTTCACCCACTCACCGCAGGTCCTGTGTGTGTGTGGCACGTGCAGGCCCAAACAACCCGCAGGCAGGACAGAGGGAAGAAGCGTGGTCCTTTCTGTCTGAGAGCTCCGGACTACCGGCTTGCCAACCCCCTGCTCTGCTGTCGCCGAGACTCAGGCCCCGGGAAGATGGGTGTTCACAGCTGGGTTTGTCCCTGAAGTGCATTTGTGGGGATGCCGAGGGTTACCCTGCTTTCCGGGTGCTTTGGCAGATCCAAGGCCTGGTGGGGATTCACAACCCATGTCCAGGTGGAAGATGAGAAACCACATTTTTACGTTAAATAGATCAATTTTCTTTTTTTTCTTTCTAGACAGTTAAAAAAAAAAAAGCTCTATTCTTTGGCTAAGTACTTGATTATTTTTACTCTAACAATTGCCCTGTGAAAACATTTATGCTAACAACCTTTAAGAAAGCGCACTCTATGTAATATAGCACTAGTCATTAGCCAATGCACTTGCTCTGCCACGCATGTTTCCAACAATAGCAGTCATCCTGTCTCTTTGCTTTTGTTTTGAAGGGATCAAAGATTTCAGGGGAGACCGGAAGTGTGTGAAGGGGAGGGAAGATGTCTCAGACAACATAAGATTTCTGATTTCCATGTTTTATTTTTTTTCCCCAAGATCTAGGTTTGATTGTTTTTACATTTTCCAGAATTGTGTTGCGAAAGACTACTAGGCATCAAAAGAGCTGGGTGAAACAAACACATGAAAAGCATGTAGAAGGAGAGATGTGTTAGGGGCAGGAGGAATTAGGGAATCTGCTGGAGGCTGCTCTCTGGGCTCTCTGGACCCTAAGGAACATAAGGCACAGTGGGAGGATTCTTTTAGACATTCCCAGCCGACAGCATCCCGGTCTGCAACCTGACCCCTGCTCCTCCCTCCAGCCCCTACCAAGCAGACCCAGAGCCTGCAGCTAAATAAATCCATTATGGAGGTGACTAGTAGTCTGGTGGGAGGGGCCGGTCGCAAGGCAGGGGTCTGCCGCAAAGGTCTGGTTAAGAAAATTGAAATTTTCACAGTTTAGTTCAGCTTGGAACTTTCAGAAAATGCATCTGAAGTCTCATGATCTGTCTTTGGGTTGTCTCAGGGGCTTTGAAACTTGATTTCTGAACCTCCCAGTTACTTTAATTTTATGTGATGTGGGAAAGGCACAATAAGTCGTGAGTTTTGGAGGCGGGTTGAGATAGGGCTTCAAACTAACTTTTAAATAGTTTCCAGGACTTATATGAAACTGATCACGAACTTTACATCAATAGAGCCTGTTGGCTAATATGCTGGAAAGGACATTTAGGACAATCATAATAATATCATAATTAGTGGGCACAGAGTTGACTTTCTGAGAATCCATCCTTAAAGCCATGTCCTACTAACTCCTACATGTTTCCCTGACCGACGGTATTCTACCCAGGCTGGCAGAAGCGCCTCGGTGAGCCAGCTGCAGGGTGTCCTTGACTGGAAGAACTTTGATGAGATTTCATTGTTGAGATCTAGGCGCACTGTGATGAGTCTAAAATGTGGTGGAAGGGCTGCCATCGGCTATCTTGTTATCCCAAAGACCCAGCCTCTGTGAATAAAGCTGTTTTGTTCGTTAACCTCTCAATGACTGGCTCAGTGGATTACTGGGGGGAATAAACAAACAGTGTGCTAGGGAAGAGGAGGCTGGGATTCTGTTTGGGAACCCAGTCAACATGTCAAGGACCTGAGCAGAAAACTCCGGGACCAGTAGATACTGCCCGAACGTCAAAAAGTAAGGTGAAAATTCCACTGTATAGGTTGGATATGCTTCAGGGGGTGTGTGTGTGTGTGTGTGTGTGTGTGTGCGCGCGCGCGTGTGTGTGTGTTTCATTGGGTATCTTGTGTCTTTTGTTCACTTATGAGGGCTCTTTTCTGGAGAAGCCAATAACCTAATACTGTCATTTTAAAAGGATGATATTTTAGAGTTACAGTTCCAAAACTATAATATAAACATTATTTTTAAGTCACAGAAAAAAAAAGGAAGAAGCGTATGTCTGCTTTGTAAGGGGGTTTATCCATAGATAAAGAGAAATTCTGTTATTTCATCCCCACATCCATCTGGTTTAGGAAAGCCAAGAGAAATGGACAGGGGGTCAGTGTCTGTGGATTCTCTCCAATCATATGTATATATCTTCCTATTGAAGAGAAAGAGGAGCTTCATGTCTTAGTGGTCTGCATATCTTTTCTAATGTTCCAGATTTAATGATGGGCTGCAAATTATGGACCAGTGAGACCAAGAAATGGATTCTACCCTTAATTAAAATATTGAGGGTAAGCCAGAAGTAACCATCCTCTTAGGCACTCGGAAGGCATGCTTCTGTGCACGCATCTAAACAAAATCTTTCCAAAATTAGGGGTGCGTGTTTTGCTTTCTGTAAATGATCTTTGGTTCAAGCCCTCATCTCTCTCTCTCACACATGTACACATGTGCGTACACTGATCATCATATGGGGGATATGGCAGGTATATATACAATGATAAATGATGCGTATGTATGTATGCATGTAAGTATACACTCATGCATGTATGTGTATATTTGTGTATATATATGTTTGCTACATACAGATGCTGAGGAATTCATCTTTTTTGCACATAGGTGGGACAGATAGTCTCAAATCTAGTGCTGAATCCTTTCAAAATAATCCAAATATTGATAATTTTAGAAAGATTTTGTTTTTCTATATGGCCCAAGCCTGGAATAACTTAGTTTTTATATTATAGTGACACTAACAAAGACTTTAGGAAAGGCTCTTGGAAGATGTACCCACTTGAGACTTCACCTCCATGACTTTGACAAGGATAAGAGAACTTTGTACAGACCTTCGCTTTGTCTGGACTTAGATATTTGCTGACTCTTTTAGAGGCTATTAGCCTCCTGGGTCTCATACGCCCCGTAAGGTTTCCTAGAACCTGAACAAGATGTGATTAACCATTTTCACATATAATTGTGTCTCTGAAAGGGAGGCCACATGTGGTCTCTACCACTTCATGTAAAGTGGTCGGTGTATATCCACGTGTGGGTTAAAGAATTAGCCACACGTGATGATATTGTTACAGCTGGAGGCCAGGGCCTGTCTGCCCAGACACTGAGAGGCTAATGTTGGCATCACGAGAGTGGGTGGCATTTCCAGGAAAAAGCTGGAGTGAGAGTCAGGACTTGGTGGGCCTCTCATGTGCGTGGTGGCTGGAATTCAGCATCCACAAAGTGGGGGTTGTTTTATAGAGTCAAAAATATACAATAATAAGCAGTTTATTATTAAAATTAGAGAGCATCAGTTTGTTGGAAGGCTAAGTGTTTAGATCCCCATTTCAGGCAGTTTTTACAAAATGTCTAAATAGCCAAAGGGCAAGTTCTTTACTACTATACATGTCCTTACCCAGAGGCCCCAAATGCAGGGTTCTCAGAGTCGGGCAGATACCGTAGATGTGTGCAGTGGGGCCTGGGCTGAAGTGGGGCAGGGTGGTCCTGTCTCTGCCAATGGCATCCAAATGCCAGTTGCACTGGGTTTACTGGCCAGATGTGGATTCAAGCCCAGGGTCTACACCATGGTGGGCAGATGACATGGAGCATAACATTTGGTTCTCCCCTGGGAGGTGGCTGGGGGAAGGGAGCAGGAGGACCTGTCATAAGCCTTGAGGGAACATAGTCAAGTCAGATGTCTTTAATGACCCTGGTTGTGAGGAAGGAGGGCAAAGGGGAAGCGGTGGGGCAAAGATTCAGTCCCAGTGTCCTTTGCCATCAGACACAAGAATCAGGATTCCAGTAGGAAACAGAAACTCACTTAGATGGGCCACTGGGAAAGAAGATGGTGAGGAGACTAATTACAGGGGATGGGGACAAGAGAAGAAACTGGCCCGGCCCACCGTGAGCACAGGGGAGCGTGGATGCAGCCACAGCACAGGAAGGAGACGCTCCTGTACAGAAGAGGCAGAAGAAACACTCCACCTCTCTCCCCTCTCACCCTCCTCATGCTGCTCTCTCTGATTGGCTGAGCCCCTCTCGAAGTCCAGCCTACCGGAAGCCAGGATGCTGTAGTCCATAGGGCTCAGCCTGCAGGGGCAGAGCAAAGGCTGAGAATGCGCCCAGCTGGGGGAGGGCCAAGCAGAGATGGCCAGCACAGCAGAGGACTTTCTTCTGGGGCCAGTGCTTGCAGCTTCCCTGACCACACTTTGATAGCCAAGAGCCAGGACCAGGATGTCCCCCATAATGCTGGTGGCTGCATCTGGCCTTCTAGGAGATTGGATTCTCTCATCTGTCAAGCTTCCAAGAAAAGGTGGCTCCAGACTCCAATCTGGGACCCTCTTCAGTGGGCAGTTTCTGGGCCTGAACTTCACTCCCCAGAACCTGCAGACTTGGCCTTCACTGCTCTGAGCCTGGAAAAGTCTTGTTGAGTTGCTAGCGGCTGGGAATGATTGCACGTGGATTTGTTATCAGTTTGTTGAGAACCTAAAACAAAGTTATCCCTTACTGGGTGGTGGCCTGATGCTATCTCACCCTTCCAGAACACGTGAGCCACACACTGGCGAAGGTGTCTTCCTGCCCAAGTCCAGAGGAAACAGGGCGCAAATGAAGTGTCTCCACCCCAGGCAATGTCTAGGTCACGCCCTCTGGGAAGGGTGGAGGGAAAACAT